GAAAAAGCCATTGACTCCTGTGATAACTCTTTTTCCTTTAAGCAAATATAACTCATTTTTTTATGAACGAGGGAGGAATGCCTGGTTATTAATTATGATTAATTAAATATTATACTTCAATTTCAGTTTAATTTCTTTTTGAGGCATTAAAAGATATTGAAATTTAGGTCTTACAAAATGGCCATCAATAGAGGTGAGGAAGAATGTAGTCTTAGTGGATCTTTGCCAACTTATTTCTGTGTTAATTCAAATTAGTTTGGATTAGAGCTTGATTTCCTTTCAAAGAAAAAAATGTGAAAGTACTCATTTTTTTTTTACAATGGTAGTCACATGCAATGATCACAACAGGCATTTTTCTTCTTAATTACAATTCATTTTGATTGAATTCGTATGCTCATCTGAAATCAACTTGTCATTAAGGAAAATCATGAACATTGTACATTTCTAGAATTAAGAACAGTTTTTTTAATATTAAACATATTACCTACCCAGCATATTTTTCCCTTTGCTAATTAATATTCTGTTCATGGAGTAATTCATTATTTAAGGCAACTTTGCAATCATGAGTAGCAGACTTCCACGTTTCTTGTAAAGCAGGTCAATTTAATAATTACTTATTGCAAATGAAAAATTCCAGGTTAGGCACCAAAATATCCAGAGTATTAATGACTATTGCATATGTACGATCACTTAGAATACTATAATATATTCCCTAGCATTTAGACAGGTACTGCTGTGTAGCAATCTCAATTTATCCGAGTTGTAAGTTATTTTGGCTCTTTAATACTTTGTGACCATGAAAGGTCTCTACAGGGACTATCATCACTCCCTAAAAACCTAAATATCCTCTAAAACCTTGGATTATTGTGTATCTAGTCCAGGGAATTGGTCAACGCAGGAATGGCAGAAGACTTCAAGGTGGCATGGTCTAAAAGACAGCCTGAAAAAGTGGGACAAGCACAGCCCCGCACTCAGTAAATGCACTGGTTAGAACGGGGATTCATTGCATTAGAGAAGACAGAGTCAGTAAATAGAAATACAGCCGTTTCAGTCTGTAGATTCAGAGAGAGGAGTGCAGGTGAGTAGAAAAGCAGCAATTATTCTTAGAAACATAACCAGTGGAGTTTGGCCAAGAAGAAATGGCGGCTCCGTAAAGAGGAAACTGCACAGACCATCCAATTCCAGGTGGCCCAGGTCATGACTCCCCCCCACCCCCCGTCCACCTGCAAGATAATTTTATTACAACGTGAACAGCCACATATGAAAAAATTAAATAGTTGTTTGAAGTGGAGTAAATTTTGGTCTTACGACCTTCTGCTTGGTGAGGGAGGTCTGAGAAGGGGTTTGGAGGGGTCTTGAAGTAGCAGTGAAAGAGAGGAGGATTTGGATTTTGTTTAAAGGGTTCAGTTGAGCCTGCAGCCTTTATGGATACCTTGCATCTGTCATGTTACTGACTGTCTTCAGTTCTGGTCACTATGATTCATAAACAAAATATCCTTGGTACAAACAACCTCGTCTGTCCTTTCTGATGTCTTCATTCCATGGAAGGAAAACCAAGAGGGACAGGTGGAGGGGAGTAAGTAACCTGGGACAAGTCTCAAATCTTTCTGTGCCCTGGACTTGCAGAGTGAACATAGAGAAACTACCTAAGGTCTTTGGAGCTCAGTTTTTCAGTAAAATTGATGAATTAGACTAAATTAGCTCTAAAGCTCCCATCTAGCTCTAACAGTCAATAGGTGTAGAAGTAGCCTGTGTTCACTGCTTTCCAGGAGATGACTATCTAAGTGGTCTGAAGCTGGTAAGTGCTTTGTGACTTACTCATGATTTATTTCTGGAGCAAATGTAGCCCAGGGGGTCTGACAGAGAGAGAGTTTGACCTGAGCACATTGATTCAATGCCTAAATGAAGCATCTTAGACATGTCACCTGGGACTAGAAGAATTTATTGATATGGATTAAGATCTACTGTCCGTCAAAGCAGCAGGTGCTGAAGAGGCATGAGTGCTGTGACAAATGGCTTCATTCCCACTCCTGGGCCTTCAGTTATGTCACTTAGTAGTCCCCAGGGAAATCCCTCCCTGTCCTTCTCCAGTACACCACATCCCTCCCTACTTCCAGATCTCAGCAGTACCACTAGCCCTGCAGTCCAATAGTCAACCAGTTGACAGGTGTTTATTGAGGGGATCTCTGGGGGCTTAACCTCACACTTCCCAATAATCTTCAGCAGCCCTCCACAAATAAGCCAAATAAACATCATATTTGTGTAAACACAGTGTTCTTGACAAACACAACTTCAGGACAAATTCTCTAGTCTCTTTCCAACTGCACTGCTAACCTGAAGCCTTTCCTGCTTAGACATTCTGGAGCTTCTTACGAAATTTAGTGCAGGCCTACTGTGTACCTGGGCATTGGCTGATGTATTGACTAGTTTCAATTGCAGGGCTCAACCTGAAGTATAGAGGTTGTGGCAGCAAGTGTCTACTAGGTCTTGGAGCTGAGAGGTTTGTGGTGTCTTCTCAGCATTGCTCATCAGACACTGAAGGTCTGTCTGGTGTTCAGGGACACATCCGTGACAAAGGAAAGGAAGGAGCAGTAAGGCCTTTCCAGTCTTGTTGTTGGGGCTCATGGACTCATGTATGATTAGTGTCAGCTCACACTGGAATATGGGCTCCATGAAGGCAGGATCCTTATTTGTTTTATTCACTATTCTGGCTTCAGCATCTAACACAATGTTACCACATGGTAGGTGCTTATCGATGTAGGCTGAATGACCGATGACGAGGCCATGTAATGCAGTGGTTAAGAGACAGACTCTGGAGCCAGACAGCCTTGATCCAAAATCCCAGCTCTGCTGCTGACTAATTGGGAATGTGGGCAAGTGAGTAAACATTTCTGTGTCTCAGTTTCCCCATTTTTTAACTAGGGATAATAATAGTATGTCTCTCAAAGTTACGCAAGTTAAATAAATTGATGTTTGTAACCAGTGCCTGGCATGTGCTATAAATGTTTATTAAATACCTAGATGAATCAGTTTATATACCCCACTTTCTTTCCCATCATTACTGAGGTTTTGTTTTTGGAGCTAAAGTCTGGATTTGTGAGAACACGTGCTCACAGGCATGGGCCCAGAACTAAACACACGTCTGCCTTAAGATCTCTGGCTATACAGCTCTCTACTTACACAATGCTCTGAAGCATCTCTTTTCATCAATTTTGTTAATGTACTACTTGACTTTCCCTTCTCAACTGAGAACTCCTTGAAAGCAGACATCATCCAAGAGGGCCTGATTTAGAGTGGGTACTCAGTGGTTGTGGAATGAATGCACGATGTACTCAGGGAGTGGCTGTGCCACGCATCTTCCCTTGTTTACTTCTAGGGAAGGATCACAGACCCCTTCCTCATCTCACAGGTTCTTCTCTACCGCTGGCTCATCAGTCTCTTAGGCACATCCTCAGTCTTGGTCACCCCAACTTCCCCATTTCGCTGTTGTCATCGCCAGCACAATCTCTGTCTGATTACCACCTCTCCTCAGGCAACCCTTTCCATTACCCCAATATCTGCTCTCTCTTCCTTTCTCTGTCTCCTCCACTTGGCTTGTGATCTTTGACATTTACATTGACAATCTTGCTTTGCCCCTCCCTTTTGTTTTAAGTCAGTTCAAATTTTTGGTAAACTGTAAAAGAATTAGTTGCAAACAAAACATTTTTTTTTCCTTACTTACTGGAATAATCACCTCAAGCTGCCCCATTGTTCTTTACAAACACTTTTTCCCCCAGGGATTACAACTTATTCATGACAGTATTTTTTTTTTTAAATTTTGCTCTTGTTTTGGTTTAGGTTCAAAGTTGTGCTGGTCAGAGAGGCGATGCATTGCCAACTTTCCCGGATTTAGCTCACTTCTTATGCAAAGAGGGAGGCAGCAAAGTAGATGGTGTGGTTCATCTCCCAATCCTCTCACACCACTCTCTGCCTTTGAAGCATTTCTAATCTGCTTAACTGATGAAAATGACAGAGAGAAAATATTTAGACAATAGTATAAGCCAGTCCATGAGATAAAACTGTCTGAACTTAAACCGTTTTCTCACAAGCTCTGAATTGCTGCAAAACCTTCTTAGCATGAGGTCACTCTATGCAAGTGTAGTTTTGCATGTAGCTGTTCTTTTATTGTGTCATTTTCAGGTATTGCTCTCCCAGCTCCTATTATATTATGAACTCCACAAGGATCAGGATCTTGTCTTCTCCTTCATCTGTGTAATTTCGTGGTGCCCTGAATAGGTCTGCATAGAGCGGACACTTGGTGAATGACACTGATGGACAGATAGTTACTGCATCCTGAAGTGACTCAGTTCTGGGCGTGCTCTGGCTACAGAACTACAGGAGAGCTGGAGGGCTCCTAGTTTGGCATTCTCCATAGCACCTCAGACACTCTTGTGCCTTTGGGTAGCCTTACTAATGAAACTGACTTCCAGGGGGTAATTCTGCAGTCACAGATCTTGATTTTCTTCTCATTCCAAGAAGCATTATTCTTCTGTGTCTTCACGAACTCCACCCCTCAGGGGAGTAACAGCAGTAGATTGGTTATGCTAAACATCCCACCTCAGGGATTCGATTTTGATTTTTCCACAGCAACCCAGTCATTTATATAGTCAAGATAGACTCATCTTGAAACTTCACAAAGCCATTTAATTTTTTTTTAAGTCATAACTCTAGATAATTTGTATCTGTGTTTCCAGTCCTCTCTTGAATTCCCAGGGAATACTCTGTGAAGCAGGAAACTCAGGTGCATACCCTTTGTCACTGTGTTTTTTGCTTTTCCTCACCCAAAATGCTAATACTGTGGAGCTAAGCAACCAATATTGGAGAGTGTTGATGTTTTGTTTGCATTTACTCTTTTCAACCATAAAGCTGAGGTGGGCAAGGCAGGCACACAAATAAACACAGAACAATTTTAGGGATGTCGGAAGAATGTGACATGGGCCATTATTCTTTTTGTCCTTCAGTCTCTAGACCTGTGGAAAAGACATTGTGTTTGGGACCTGCCCCATCAGCCTCTCAGCTCTGCAATATCCCTTGCTCTACAGACTGTATAGTATCTTCCTGGTCAGCCTGGGGCCTGTGCGTCCATGAGAACTGCCACGATCCTCAGGGGAGAAAAGGTGAGTGCCCTGTTTGCGTGTGCTTCATTTATTTCCAGTGTACACACATTTATTCTGGTAGCTAAGTAGCTGATTAAGCCTGCTTAAGACAGTATTTGTTTGTAAAATTTAGATAACTGGCTCAAGCCTGATAGCATTCAGTTATTAGGGAGGCCACTGGGGATGTTTCTGTAGAGCACAGAATCTGACCTTGATTGACCTTCCAATTGGCTCATGGCTGGTGAAGTAACTATTACTCAAAAATGGTAGAACTTATTGTTTCCTATATGTATGGTTACACTGAGGATATTAGACCTGATTTCTGTAAACACATCAGGAAACAACTGTTTTGCTATCTCCCTTTATTTTCAGATTTCCACATGCTGGATTTGATGTTATGTTTTGGATTTTTATGAGGGGCATTTATGTATGTTGTTTACTTTTTGATGTTTTCCTCAGGCTTAACATGAATTCTTCAAACTTTATGTGCTTGTTGAATTTTATAGACCTCTGGAGTCTTGTTTTCTTTAGTTGGCTGCTATAGACACATCTCTATCTTCATAAGTTCTTTTTTTGGTGACATCTTGACTTCTCTTTCATTGACACTTCAGTTTGTATTGATATTATCTTCCCTTAAATGGCAGTGCTAAAAAGAAATATTCTCTTTACTGAGAGAAATGAGATCCAAGGACATTCCAGAAGTTAGGTTGTGTTTGCTAATCACTAATCCTAGTTATCACATGCAAAGAAAAAATACAAAGCCAAGCACTTGATGCACCAAAACTGGTGCTCTCAGCTTAATTCTGCATCCACTTGAAAACTCACATTTCAGGGCCGGCCTGGTGGCGAAGCACTTAAGTTTGCACATTCTGCTTCTCAGTGGCCTGGGGTTTGCCAATTCGGATCCTGAGTGTGGACATGGCACTGGTTGGGAAAAGCCATGCTGTGGTAGGCGTCCCACGTATAAAATAGAGGAAGATGGGGGGCTGGCCCCGTGGCTGAGTGGTTAACTTCGCGCGCTCTGCTGCAGGCGGCCCAGTGTTTCGTTGGTTCGAATCCTGGGCGCGGACATGGCACTGCTCATCAGACCACGCTGAGGCAGCGTCCCACATGCCACAACTAGAAGGACCCACAACCAAGAATATACAACTATGTACCGGGGGGGGCTTTGGGGAGAAAAAGGAAAAAATAAAATCTTTAAAAAAAAAAAAAATAGAGGAAGATGGGCATGGATGTTGGCTCAGGGCCAGTCTTCCTCCGCAAAAAGAGGAAGATTGGCAGTAGTTAGCTCAGGGCTAATCTTCCTCAAAAAAAAAAAAAAAAAAGAAAACTCACATTTCAGAATTCCCCAGAATGCACACATGCACACATGTGCATGCCCAGTTTCACACACTCACATCCCTGGACTTTTCTCTTTATTCTGATTCTTTTGTTCTAAGGCAGAAGAGGAGGATGTACGTTGAATCTAGGGCAGGAAGAAGCTAACTTTAATTTTTTTATCAAACAATTGAAATCTGAAATCTGGATTTCAATGGAACCTGGAGCAGGTGGGGGGTATAGGAGGTAGGAAGCTCATGCTACTCATTTATTAGACATGTTACTAGATTATTCCCCAAGCCTCTTCAGCTTATGTATACAAATAAGTCCCCATTAATACTAATACCCATAATTTGTGGTCTTGTGATCCACACATGTATAATTGGACCCTTTAAATCTCTTGTAGTTGCATATGTGACTCGTCAGGGTGACTTATGTGTTATTAGAACCAGTCCTCTTATGTTCAACCTGTGCCAATCTGTTTTAAGTTTGCTGTCTAGTCATTTGAGGTCACACTTAGGCTCCCCCAGCTGCTGTGGCCATGGCTGTCCGTATTGGCACAACTTTCCTGCATTGAACACTGAATTCCTTTGCTTTCAAAGCTGTAGAACCCACACCAGGCCAAATAGGCCTTATATTATTTGGGACAGTTTTGGCAAGAAGTGACAGAAACCCAATTTAAACTGGCATAAGCTTAAAGAAGGGAATTTATTAGCTCATCTAGCTAAAAATTGAAAGGAAGGTAGGGCCGCACACAAAAGTATCAGTGAGGTCAACAGGTCTCAGTCTGTCTCATTCGTTCTCTTTCTGTTTGCAATCTTCTGTTTCTACAATCTTCTATTCTATTGTGTTCTCTTCCCACTTGCAGTTTTCTCTCTCCATCTCTCAGTTCTCCTTCTCTCTGTCTTAGATTCAGTTTAGGGCAGACCTTCTCTATGAAGTAGGGACCAGCACTAATTTTCTCTTTTTTGTCAACTGTTAAATTTTGCATATCCGTCTTGTTAGTAGATTTAGTTCCAGTTAGCATCTGCCTTTCAGTGATTATTCATGTCCCAGGCTCATGGATTACAAGGCAACAACAAATTTCTGTAATGTTTTGATTTGAAACATCTATTTCTTAAAGTTTGTTAACAAAAATTCTAGTATGAGATGTTGTTCTAAATCATTTCAGTAATATAGTTAATTGTTTTCTGTTTCTTTGGAGGAAATATTCAAGCATTATTTTATCCAACTAACATTTGATTTAAAACAAAACAAAAAATTAGGCACCCCTAATCTCATCCTAATAATCTAACCTCAAGTGCATAAAACTGTTTACGATTTCAGTAGGGCAGATCGTGAATGTTTTTCAATTTATCTAAGCTTTCAGAGACAAGTTAACCTCCACACGGTCTGCAAATCACAAATTGGAGAATGAAGCTAAAAATTCTGTTTCCTTGATTCTTAGATCCACTCTTTTTGCATGTTTTAGGTTTCTAGATCTGTGTCACAAGATCAATAAGTATGTTTTATGTAGAGGTATTTTTTTCTCCAAAATATTGTAATAAAATCAACATAGTATCTTATAAAAGATGATATCTTATTTTTTATGGTCAGCTTTTTCAAGCTCTATTGAGATATAATTTCCAGCTTTATTGACATATAACATTGTGTGGTTTTAAGGTACACAATGTGGTGATTTGATATACATATGTATATGGTGAAGTATTTACCACAATAAGGTTAGTTAACACATCCATCACTTCACCTAGTTACCTTTTGTGTGTGTGTGTCTGTGTGGTGAGAGCTTTACTCACTGTAAAGATCTACTCTCCCTGTACCACGTGTTCATTGCAGCGTTCTTCACAACAGTCAAGACGTGGAAACAACCTAAGTGTCTGTCAATTGATGAATGGATAAAGAAAATGTGATAAATGTATATATGTATCCCATTATATATATATATATATATATATATATATATATATATAATTTCAATATATAATTCCATTATAAATATATATAAATATTATATGGAACATTATATATATTTATAATATATTATTATATTAGTAGTATTTATATATTACATATAATATTATATAATATATATAATGGAATATTATTCAGCCATAAAAAGGAAATTCTGTCATTTGTGACAACATAGATGAACCTTGAGGGCATTATACAAAATGAAATAAGTCAGAGAAAGACAAATAATGGATGATCACACTTATATATGGATTCTAAAAACTCCTGGTAACAAAGAGTAGAGTAATGGTTGCCAGGGGCTAGAGGGTGGGGAAAATGGGCAGATATCAATCAAACGGTATGAACTTCCAATTATATGATCAATAAGTTCTGAGAATCTAATGTGCAGTGTGGTGACTACAGTTAACAATACTGTATTGTATACTTGAAGAGAAGTAAATCTTAAAAATTCTCACCACAAGAAAAAGAGATAATTTTCATTTTATATAGTAGATAAAATAGAAAGAAATGTCTTTATTAATAGTTCCAGAAAGATTCTTGGAATTGAATCTCATTGGCTGCTTTGTGTCATGTGCTCATCCCTGACCCAGTTACTCTGAGGGATGTGGGGCTGAAGTAGCCAGGTTCTAGGCATGTGACCACCACTGAAGGGACAGCTCCATCTATGCATCACAGATTGAGGGTAGGGGAGGGGCGACTCCCTCAAGGAAATGTGAGGTGCTGATACTACAAAAGGTAGAAGCGATGCTGGGGTCAGACTTAGTAGATATTTATTAAATGCTTTGTCCTCTTTATTCTGTGCCATAGACCCCCTACAGCAATTCAGAGAATGTTCCTTTTCCTAATTCTGTGCTGCAGTTTTTCTCACTTGAGCCAAATTTTCACAAAACCCTTTGTGAAAAACTGCTTTCGACTTTTATTTCAGTCTTCCTTTTCCACATAACTCAGAACTAGTCCATGGAATTTAGCTGGGAAACTCACAACATTCCACCTCCTCCATTTGCCCCATTTGTCCAAGATGCTTTTATCTCCAAACTTTCTTCATTGGCCCCTATACCCCTATTGTATAAGTCAACTCTTGAAAATACACCCTAGTTCAACATTCACTGGATATCACCTCTTGTGGGATGAATTGTGCCCTCTGAAAAGATGTGTTCAATCCTAATCCCCAGTACGTGTGAATATGACCTTATCTGAAAATAGAGTTAATGCAGATGTAATGAAGTTAAGACGAGGTCTTATGGATTGGGGTCAGCCCTGTTCTAATAACTGATGCCTTATACAAAGAGGGGAGTTTGGACCCAGAGATACACCAGAGGAGAGTGCCATGTGAAGATACAGAGACACAGAAGACACAAGGAGAAGGCCATGTGAAGACAGAGGCAGACGTTAGAGTAGTGCCTCTGCGAGCCAAGGCATGCCAAGGATTTCCTACAACCACTGAGGCTAGGAGAGCAACATGGAGGCGACCCTTCCCTAGAGCCTTCGGGGGTGCATGGGTCTACTGACTCCTTGATTTGGGGCCTCTAGCCTCCAGAACTGTGAGACAATATATTTCTGTTGCTTTAGCTCACCCAGAGTGTGGTACTTTGTTTTGGGAGCCCTGGGAAACCAATATACTGCCCAAATTTGCAGCAGCATTTAGGCTCAGCAAGGATATAACACTTAACAAAATGCCAAAACTAAAGTATAGAGAAGTAAAGCAATTTGTCCTAAATCCCATAGAGATTTAA